GTCCGCTGCGTCTGCCTCATTTTCATAGACCGCCCACTGTTCATAAAGGACGCTAACTTAACCTCCGTCCAGTTCCGTTAGCGTGAGTACCATCCCACCCTCAGTGAGCCATTCCACCTCGTTTGTAGAGGGGGATGCAGCCCGTCTACGTTGATTGTCCTCCGAGTCCACGGTCACCATGCTCAAGCACATTTCCCGTTTACCGCCTTTCAATTCCCATTGCGTTTTTCGGGCAACGCACAAGTATCGCAGGTTTATAGGGCCTGGGATGTTGTCGACAATGAGATGCGTGGCTTGATCGAACACTTGGAGGACCTGCAACGTGACGTCGTAGCGCTGATTTAACCCCCAGTTCTTCGGCACTGCTAGTGTCGGTCGACAGGCTTTTGGTTGACTGCATGTAACTTTGTAAACGTCCTCGATAGAGCACCGGAACTTCTTCAACAGCTTTACACGCAACAGTGGAAGATTGTTGTCTCGAAAGAGTTTAGTCTGGTGCAGATTCCAGCCCATAAATGTGCCAACTGGGGACTCAGCCGGCCAATGTTTGGTCAATTTGGAATCGAACGGGTCGGACTTGTCAACAATGTCACGTGAGAACGGGTAGAAATAAAAGGGACGCGAGTTGTCCGCGAAATGCACCCGCCATCCTCTATATCTGTCCTCGGGGTTGTTGACAGAATGCGAGGCTTTTGGATGACTTTGCTCCTGTCCCGTGTCATTCGAGTCACTGTGATCTTCATTGAAAACTTGAAAGCTTGCGTTTGAAAGCCGTTTCTGAAACTGGTAGTGATGCGCAAGGGCTGCACGGAGCTCCGTATTCTGCGAGTTCAGTCGTTCGCGCTGTAACGCCAGGCGTAGAATCTCGACCATTAAGCCTTGTCCTTCTCCATCACGAGCAAGTGTGTGCTTGGCAGCGGCAAGACCACGTCGTAGCGTTTCCTCTAACCGCTGGTGTTCCCGAATCATCGCCTCTTGACTTGCTTGGCGTCTCGAACGATATCGTGTCGTTCTCGCTCGATGCTTCTCACGACTAATTTCCAGCCTCACTTCAGCTGACCATTGCTTTGTGATGGCAACTGCCCACTGCTCAACATCGTTGGCAGTAGCCGCACCATTTTCTCTTCTTGAAACGGCAACCATGGCTGGGATCAGCTCAGTTCTGACAAACAAGTGAGTGTGGCAACGTGGGGTCTGTCAGAGTCGACGAAAATAATAAAGTGCCTGACCAAGCGAGCCGGAAAAATACCCCCATCCTCGATCGGTGCGGCTCTTCCACAGGTCGACTCTTTTTTGTTTTACCAGCAAGCATGAGTGAAAACGATTTTTTTTTTACAAATTGCCCTATTAACTTACAGTGAAGCTTACCAATGATAAGTTACCATCAGCAGCAGCTGCTGCAATGCTGTAAAACATTATGTGGAGACAACATGTTAATCTTAGTATTCAGCCATTATAAGCATTGGATCATTCACGATGATCTGTTGCTCCCTGTCGTGCTACAGACGTGATAAACCAGATTATTATGGTGGCTTTTCAGTTTGGCGAATCCTAATCGTCAGGTGACTTTAAACAGACTGTGCAAAAGAATATAGATTTACTTTTTGCTCCGTGTGACACCGTGCTGCATATCTACTGACAGTACTGTACCAGATGTCGTGGCATCAACTCGTTGCATTGGCCTATGTTTACGCCAACGAATCGAGAATGACGTTCAGCTGTAGAAATTTATATCTATCTATCTATATATATATATCTATCTATCTATATATATATCAGGAAGCCTGTTCGTTGACCTACTAATTGAATATTAAAATATAAAAAATGATTTCATCTCTGTTTGTTGTTATCAATACCAAGCAGCATAGTTAACACTCGGTAGCTTGTTGTTGTTGTTGTTGTTGTTGTTGTTGTAAGGCTTATTTAAAAATGGACTCCCCTTGGTCTTAAACAATTTTTAAACTATCGAGTGTACGATATATCCAACCCAAACGCGCATGAACGATTGGGCCGACCCACTAACGCTCTTGATGGATATTAACGCGCGTACACGCTCCATCGTCCTGCATCGCCTGCGCCACCATATTCTTGACTACGACTACGAGAAGGAACAGCTTACGGAGTGGTCTACTGTGTACAGTATCAAACTACAGTTTATGTAAATATGAGACCGCGTCAAGAAAAATGTAACGAATGCGGCCGTGAGAGTTATCGAGATAATTGCGTTAAAAGTTGGCTGTTCCAATTTCGTACATAAGTGTGTTTGCGAGAAAAACGACCATTCGCTTCAAAACTTTGAACAGGGTGTACTGACAGCGTTCAAGATATGAATCTCCAACACGCCAGACCGTTAGCGAGCCATGCCCGAGCACCACCCCGATCAACCCAGCCTTCTCGAGCCAGGCTCACCGCAAGCAGCGTTAAGCACCCTGCCCTCCTCAACAATCTGTCAGGATGTCGCCAGACCTAATGTGGATTCCCTAGACGCCATTACACGCAAAGCCGCAGGGGAGGACAAAGGCGGTGACACAAACGAAGACGATGACTCAAACGAAGGAGATTGGCTTGTTCCTTCTGGTAGTGAGAGTGAGGAGTACGATGATAGTGGCGATGAGAGCTTCACTCTGGACTCAGAAGTTGCTGACAGCGACGTCGAATCCCTCTCTACAGCCAGCTCCTCCAGCGGTCGCCAAGAAGAAGAGGACATAAGCAACTTTTATTCGAGAGGGACCTACAAGCTCGGGTAACTGAGATTATTAACGCTGACTCGTGCGAAAAGCACTGCGTGCAGGGAAAAGTTCGAGAGCTCGAGCATTTG